AATCGAAAATGATGTGAGAAAGTATAAATATTTACATTCTTTTTATAAAAAATTAGATAATCGTAAATATTAATAAATAAACATCTAATATAGGGGTCTCAAACTCGCGGCCCGCGAGCCATTTTGACCTGCAAGACGATATTTTGCGGCCCGCTACATGACAGAAAAGTTTAGTGTAAATGCGCCGGCCCGTTTCCCCCATTCTCATATCTATAACGTGACTCTCCGCGACGGTTTCAGTCGAATCTCACCAACTAGTCTAATTCGGTTTTTTTTTTTAATGTTTCTATATATTTTTGTATACAACAGTGAGTAGCTGGATGAAAGTGAATCCTAGTTCTTGAGAACCCTTAATGATTTTATTGTTATTTATAAAGGTTGAGCAGATTGCAACAGTTGTAATCGCTTTTTTGTGGATTACTTGATGCGGCCCACTCTCATTCAGACACTACCTCCTGCGGCCCCCCTGATGATTTGAGTTTGAGACCCTTGATCTAATGAATACTTTGGATTTTACCATTTTAATATAAAAGTAATTTAAATTGCCTTACAATTTTTTAAAATTAGTATGGTAAGAGAAAATTTGGCCCAAAAAATATTGGGGGGAGGGGGGGGGGCCAATTAATGAAAAATATGATTTTTTAAACCGGGTCTCTAAAAATTGTTGTTCTGATATGGTTCTAACAGATCGCTTAATTGGTTCTGAAAGGTCGCTTTAATTGTTTTTAAAGATGGTTTAGTTTTTTGTTAAAGATCGTTAGTTGCTTGCTATTGATCGGTTAGTTTGTTCTTAAAGATCGTGAGTTTGTTCTTAAAGATCGCTTAGTTTTTTGTTAAAGTTCGTCCAGTTTTTGTTAATGATCGCTTTATTTTACTTAAAGATTGGTTAGTTTGTTCATAAAGATCGCCTAGTTTGTTGTTAAAGATCCTTTAGTTTTTTCTTAAAGATCGCTTAGTTTGTTGTTAAAGATCGTCCAGTTTTTGTTAATGATCGCTTTATTTGTTCTTAAAGATCGTTTAGTTAGTTCATAAAAATTGCTTAGTTTGTTGTTATAGATCGATTAGTTTGTTGTTACAAATCGCTTAGTTTTTTCATAAAGATCCCATAGTTTGTTGTTAAAGATAATTGATTTTTTCCTTAAGTTCAATTATTTTGTTCTTTAAGGTCGTTTAGTTTGTTATTAAAGATCGCTTAGATGTTCTTAAAGATCGCTTAGTTTGTTTTAAAGATCGTTTAGTTTGTTCTTAAATGTCGCTTAGTTTGTTGTTAAATATCGCTTTCACTGAGTATTAGATGACCAAAAACCTGAGTCACTTTTGGCCGGATTGCCGACAGTCTAAGTCTATTTCGGCCGAAACCGAAGAAAAACCGAAAGTTAACTTTTCTCTTTCGGCCGAAACCGAAACTTGGCCGAAAGTGATAAAATAGGCACTTTCGGCCCCGAAACCGAAATTCGGTCGGCCTCTAATCACAACCCCCACACACACTGGCACACAACCACACACGGACAACCACAAAAATGGCACCATGATACAATCATACACTGACAACCACACAACCACACAAGCTATAACTATAACAACTACACTGACACACAACCACAAAGAAACACTGGCACGCTACACACACACAGACATAATCACACTGACAAAAGCACAATCGCTGACACATGTATAAACATTCCATTTCAAAAGATCTCTAAATAAATTTTCTACTGGTAAGATCACCATAATTCATTCCGAGAATACTTTTAATCTCTGTGGCGCTACAGCTCATGTAGGGCTTTGGCCTGCCTCACCACATCCTTTTCTATGCTTGGATTCCTAGCGGCTGTAGATCCCTCTCCACACCATCCATCCACCTAAGCCTAGGTCTGCCTTTGAGCCGTTTTCCTCATGGAGTTTTGGTGGTGCAGCTTCTTCACTCCTGTCATTTGGAATTCTAAATGTCCAGCTCAACTAGCCTGTCCTTTTTAACTTCTGCTACCAGCGTGTGAACCTCATAAAGACTATACAATTCCTGGTTGGTTCTCATCCATATTCATCCTTTGTTGGTCCTTAATATTTTCCGCAGAACTTTTCTCTCCCATGTGTCAAATAGACTTTCTTCCATTTTTTGTTAGGGTTATGTTACAACTGTTCGGAGTAATTTTTTTATATAGTTTTTTGTTTTTCTTGTAATGCTTTTAATTTTGAGCATTGTCGGATTACTGAAGCATGCACTGAAGTTTCCGGCCACAATTTTTTCTTTTGATTCTGTAAGTAATTCATTTCTTTCATTCATTAAGGAACTTAGGCAATTGAATTGATTTACTTTATCAAAAGAGTGGTTTCTAATTTTAATGATTTTTTTATCTGTCTGTTCTTCTCTTATCATAGTCATATAGGCCTATATATATATATATATTATTGTTAATTTCCAGCCCTGCTTGTAGTGATGCGTCTTCTAATTCATTTAAAGCTTTTGATATATCTTTAATACTTTTCCCTAACAGTGCTATTTTATCAGCAGAATATGCATAATACCGAAGGGGTTGGTTGTAGAGAGTGCCTATTGGTTGTAGAGAGTGCCCATTGGTTGTGGCTCTTGGGTTTCCCTCAGAAAGTATCCTGTTATTGTTCCTCGGGTGTCAATATGTATGTTTCTCATAATGCTCCAATGTTAGGTTGAATAGCATACAAGACAGTGAGTCTCCTTGTCTTAGGCCTCGTATAATCTGAAATTCCCTTGAATATTCACCCTGAACATTGATTTGGATGAATCGTTTAATATTTTCCGAGATACATTACAATGCATTGTAAAACTAAACTGATTTAAAAACAAAATTGAAAACGATCATAGTTCACAAGTCTTTAATAGAAGTAAAGTTTCAATCATAAAAACAACACTGGGTTCTAAAAAATATTGTAAATATAAGGATTGGATAAACGTAATGAATAGACTATCTTCTGAATAGACTATCTTCTGAATAGACTATCTTCTGAATAGACTATCTTCATTTGAACATTTGCAAGTCAACAATGCCATTACATGATATGATTAGTCGCAGGGTAGATGCCTGCTGTATCATTAAGAATGCTCAAATATTACAGTATCAAATTACCCGTTGCGATTCAATATGTCTTCTGCTAAAATGCTTACAGCTGAGTTTTTAAGTATATTGAGTAAATATAGATAGTTGTTAGCTCAATATTTTTATTCAGTTATTCCATTGAACTAAAAAGTGGTGCCATATAAACATGACACAGAGGACCTAGCAGAAATACCAATGTGTGTTTCCAAAAGGTCAGTGTAAATATGTTTGTCAATGGACTGGATATGTTGAATTATCAATCTAGCTCAGCAACAGGAACACAAAATGTAAAATCCAGTAACAAAAGCAAAAAGTAAAAGATAGAAAATGAAATTCCACATAATATATAGTGAGAAGGCTTCACAATCTCTTTGTGATTAAAACTAAAATGGGACAAAGTCACAAACAAGCATAGTTCAGTTAGCTCTGTTGTCTCCAGACTATACAAAAGTTATTAAATTGTTCATTAACTCTAGTTCTTAGCCCATAATAAATTCAGTTGAACAATAATTCAAATTCCTTTTAAATCAAAGCTTGTAAACTTCAAAAAAAAAAAGACATAAGTAAATTGATTTGTATAACATGAGACAAAGTATTTATTAATTCTTTCTAATTTAATGAATCACATTCATTTTTTTCTCCTCAAAGATGTTTAAACAGCCAAATTTAATTTTTATTGAAAATGTGGCAGGATAAACTTGAAAATATGTCAAATCTTGGAAATGATGAAAACATTTCTTGAATATTTAAAAATTTAACTTCTAACAATTGGAATTCAGGAAATATTTGAATTTATTTGAAATCAAACTATCCTAACTGAAACATTTACAAATACTTTAAACCCAACAAATTTACATTAAAGAAACTGTTTTTGAAAACCACAACTTATTGAAAATAGTTTTTAGCCTTCCTGGCAAGGCCAAACAAATTTCAGAGGAAAAACCTTTTAATAGCAAAAAAAACTTTTCCCCCCCCCCCCCCCCCCCCCCATCTGCAACGCTTCCCTTAAACTAATAATACATCTATGAATAGGGCTAACCAGCAACAAATGCTTGATATTATAACAACAGTGGAAACTGTAAGAGATGCTGCGACTAATGACTAGAGAAACTCATTTGAGGAGGAAATACTCGGAATGTACAAAACTATTAGCTGTAGAAAACAAAACTTGGGACACACCACATGGCTGTGTTTATATTCTCAAGTCTTTTGTTAAGTGGGAGAAATACAAAAAATAAACAGGATGCATTGATGGCCCATCCTGACAAAGAAATCGGGTAAAAAACTATTGGTCAATATTTTAGAGGTATATTTTTATTTCAAAACTTCAGTCGTGTGAAGGCTTTAGAGAAATTAAGTTCTTATCCTGTTTCAGTGATTCAAAGGAAAATTCCAAAAAGCACTTTAAAACCACACACACACATTCACAGAAACTTTGCAAGTCTTGAATTCTCAATTCAAAAATAAAACAAACGCCACCTTAACTTTATTTAGCAGCTATGAGTCAGAATCTGATGGTCATGAAAAACTTTTGTTCAAGTAGTTCGATTTAACAGAAGTAAAGTTAGATTTTAGTATGACAAGCAAATGAGATACGTGGCCCTGTTCAAGACGGCCAGTGACTCATATTCTGTCAAATATTTTTTTTTAAAATCACTTTGTTCACATTGGAGCCATTTAAAAATTACCATATATATTTTTTTTCCCCCAAAAAAACTTGGCTAATCACTATAATTTCTTCAAAGAAAATAACAAAAAAGCCGAGAAGAAACCAACCGAAAAAAAAGGATAAAAATTGATAAATTACACATAGGAACTTCACATTTGTTCAAAATATTTGTTCAACTGACTTAATTTCTTATTCTAATAATCATTTTTAATTTATAGAATCACAACTGCCAACAAGGACAATTTAAAAAAAAAAAATCAAGTTCCCTAATTTATAGTTGATACTGACAAGCAAAACAAATGTACAATAAATAAAAGAGAAATAAATATTGTTATATTTCAATATTCAAATCTATAGTTTCAGGAGTTTAAAAACTGAACATTGCAATGTAATTTTTTTTTTTAACATGTAAATTATGAGACTATCATTACTGCAGTTTTAAAACAAATTTATCACTGGTTTTTTGACGGATAAAAATGCAAGTTATAGCAACAAATATACCCATATCAACTGGTGTGTAATTAAGTTAAAGTTCACAACCAAAGTTTTAAATAATTTAAATATTTTATGTAGAAGACAGAGATCATGATGCAACAATGGTTTTTATATATGAACAAACAATACTCAAATGTTTCAACAAAAATCTTCCATAATATTCCAGCTATGCCATTATTGTATCATTAAGCATTCATATAAAACAATTTTTATAAAATATATTTTAATAGGTACTAAGCAACAGCTTAAACTTAAATTATTTATGGGACATGTTGCTAATGGACTTAGTGAATTTTTTTTAATGGAAGCAATTTCTTGACAACAATTAAGTGCAAAGCTGATTTCTTTCCACGGATTAATATAAGTAAGATCATTTTCATCCCATAACCATTTGATCAGATCTAAGTTTTCATCTCATTTGTCAATCTATAGGTCTATTACCAGAGGTTAGCCTAAAAGATAATAAAAAGACAATGGACCATAGAATATAAAAAATTTTGAAGAAAAAAAAACCAGCTTACCAAAGACAATTGGTGATCATATTATAGATACCCTGGAAAAAATGGTTATTTGAAATTCAAAACGACCCGAGAGATTATTTCAATGCACTCTTGTACCTGTTCTTCTGTGATCACAAGGGGTGGAGCAAAGCGGATGATGTCACCGTGCGTAGGTTTTGCAAGAAGTCCATTATCACGCAATTTCAGACAAACTTCCCAGGCATCAAATTCTAAAATAAATATGAGATAAAATTATCATCAATAATTATCCTCAATAACAATCATCAATAATTATCATCGATCTATCAAAAATATATTGAGAAAGAGGAAACAGGTCTTACAATAAAATTTGATGTCTTTACTTTGCAAGAGAAAGGCCTCATTTATTTTGAATTAGGATACAAAGTTATCCCTGGTAGAGACAGATATAACAAATTGAATATACCTGCATTAATTTGACAAATTGAACATACCGGTGTTAATATGACAAAGTGAATATACCTGCATTAATAACAATAGCATTGAGAAGCCCTTTGCCCCTGACAACACTGACAATATCTTTAGGCAGTTTTGTTAACTCTTTACGAAGAATCTCCCCAAGTTTCTCCGCATTGTCAGCAAGATTTTCTTCTTCAAGAACCTGAATTCAATTTTGTAAATATTAAGAAATAATGCAACAAACTCATAAGGGGACTAAAGGGAGTACATACTTATATGTATATAACTAAGCTGTTGGAAGGCTTGCATCCAAAAATGAAATGGCTCATTTACTTAAAATAGCAAAAAGATTTTTGTGTAACAATAGAAGAATACCATCGAAAGTGTTTTAATTAATTTTTTTATAACTTTCACTCTACAACATTTGGACAAGTTATATTATGTAATATTTAATATTTAGATCATTGTGAGAATATAAATTCTATCATTCCCATAAGTTTATTTTAAAATATCTATAACCTGAAGGGAGGCAAGTGCAACTTTACAGGCTAGCGGGTTACCACCAAATGTTGATCCATGTTCACCTGGGCGGATGGTCAACATGACATCATCATCTGCCAACACGGCAGAAACCTAATCGATAAAAAATGAACGCTTTAAAAACTGATTCATTTTTAGGATATCAATTAAAATTCTAAAATATTTGGCCAAATCCAAATAACTGATAAGAAAAAATAGCAATTAAAAAATTCATTAATGTCAGCTAAGATGATTTTTGGTTATTGCAGTTATGAGAGAACAAAACTTACAGGTAAAACTCCACCTGAAAGGGCTTTTCCAAGGATAACAATGTCAGGGCGCACATTTTCATGATCACAAGCCAATCTCCTACAAAATGAATTACAATAACAATTTTAGATTATAATCAGTTCTAATCGAGTTAATTATTAGATTGTTCAAAATAAAAACTATATTAGAAATGCAGGTGCTATTTTGTTTTCTTTTTACCTTGCAAAACAAAGAATATTATATTACATTTTTAAAAGAATCCTATCAGAATGCTGAGTTCTAAATTCTATTTATATAAGGTTTTATCCTTTGGCAAAAGTGTTATGAAAATGTTCATGAATTATTGGAATATTTTACTAAATGCCAAAATAGCAACACACTGACCAGTGACATTACAAAGTACTAAAACTTCTACCAAATGGAGATAATTATATTTTGACAGATGTAGGAAACTGTAATGATTACCTCCCTGTTCTTCCAAGCCCAGTCTGAACCTCATCAGCCACCATCAACACATTGTACTTGGTGCACAATTCTCTGACTTTCTTTAAGTAACCTTCCTGTGGGACAACAACTCCTGCTTCTCCTTGGATAGGCTCAAACATAAATGCACAGACATTGGGATCTTGAAATTCTTTCTGAAATAATAAGTAGTAGGCTTTGCAACACAACTTATTTAGTAAGCTAAACAAGGAATGTTCTTTTAGTATGAAAGATTCATACAAAAATTATCATTTAAAAAAATTTGAAATTTTATCTATAAATTAATATGAAACAGTTTTTTAAATAATGTGAAAGTCTAGCATTAAAAAAAAAGGGCAATATTACCTCGAGGGCGGCTGTATCATCATAAGGAACAACACTAAACCCTGGCATAAAGGGCCCATAATCCTTGTAGCTGGATGGATCAGTTGATGATGAGATGGCAGCTAAAGTCCTCCCCCAGAAATTGCCTTCAGCAAAGATGATACGTGCTTTATTTTCTGGAATTTTCTTCACTGTGTAGGCCCACTTTCTTGACAATTTACAAGCAGTTTCACCACCTTCAACACCTGGCAAGTTATAGAAACATGTAGAGACAGACCAAAAGTGATTTTCTGATTTCTGCTGACACCGAAACCAGGCCAAAAGTTAACTTTTCAGTGTTGTCCTTATTAGTGGACCTGAAATTGTTTATCGGCAATTATCATTTGTCAGCTAATTTTAGATTTGACTTAGATTGAACAAAATTTTAGTGAATGTTGGTTTAGTTTGATAATACAGCCCCATTACATAATTATTTACGAAACAGTGAACACACATACGTGTGTACCCTTATGATTTAAATGAAAGGCAACTTTTGCCTAACTATACAAAATTGAACAAGTAATGATGTTTTACTATTTTTTAAATATTACTAAAGGTTCATTCTTTTCCTTCTTTTCATTTGTTTCCATACACTTCATACTTGACTCATTTGGTGTGGTGATATTTTATACTTTTATTTCGTTGTCAGTAAAAACATTTATCAGCATAATAACGATGAATGTCAATGAATTAATTGAGAAAGCCTAGGGATCCCAAATTAAAAAGAATAAAATAATAATGTAAAAAATAATAAAGGAAATCTTACAATTCCTAAGATTTTTTTTCACAATGCTAGTTACTTTGGACAATGGCTAAATTTTTTAGCAAGATAATGATAAATCAAAATGTATTTCACAAATAAATGACTTGAATAAGTCTAGTTTTCCCAATTGAACAAATTAATAAAAAAATAATAATATAAATATTATCATTCCCCATAGTTTTTTTTTCCACGAAACTATTAACAATTACTTTTGCCTTTATGAAATTTTCATTTCTTAAAATATTGGACAAGTCATGCAGCTGTGAACAGTGTTCGCAAATTATTTGTTATATATTACCGATGACGGCAATACTTTGCGCAATAATTAATATCGGATTGCCTGCCGTCACAGTGACAATCTGACATCTGGTAGAAGGCAAAAGGAATTGAAGTCTCAATCACTTTTGGCCGAAACCGAAAGTAAACCGGAACTTAACTTTTCAGTTTTGGCCAAAACCGAAATTAAACCAAAAGTTCACTTTTCAGCTTTGGCCGAGACCAGGCCGAAAGTGATAAAATGGCAACTGTAGGCACCGAAGCCGAAATTCTGTCAGTCTCTAGAAACATATAAGCAACATTAGTTTTGTTTAATTTTTAGTTTCTGTGGTTAAATATGGCATTTTATGATTAGTTGCACCATATTAATATTCATTTTATTTTTTCATAACTACAAGGCACATACTTTCAAAAATATTAATGTACTCAAAAACATACTTGTATACCCAGTAAGCTAAAATGAAAAATTTAAAAATTTGATTCCTCTAGCTACAAGGATTGTGGGACCTTTATGTCAGGCTTCAGAGTTGTTCCTTATGATGATACAGCCGCCCTTGAGGTAATATTGTAATTTTTCAAATGCTAGAGTGTCAAATTATTTTAAAATTGATCATGTCTTTTTACTAAAACTAAGAATTTAAGGGGCGTGTTTCACCAAAAGAACAAAAAGATCATATTCATTACCCACTGTGGTGTGTGCTGTGCTTCACAGTACAGACTGGTATTTATGTTAAAACCTTTGAGTGTTTCTTACTGGTTTTTGTAACAAAACTCAACTGCACCTTCTCAAAAGTTTGACAAATAAAAATGTTATGTAACTCTAACTGCCCTTCTAGTTCCCTTCAAATTATCCCTCCATTATCAAACATTTTAAAAGTCTTATCTTTACGTTCCTTCGTTATGCAATACACACATTTCCTAGTAAGAATTAACAAAGTAAGTGACATAAAAATTGTTTTTTACCAGTATTCATTGGTAAGACTTTGTCATAGCCAAAAAGTTTGGTAATATATTCTTCGTATTCTCCAAGACATGTATTGTAGAATGCCCTGGAAGTCAATGTAACAATCTCTGCTTGCTTCTTCAGGGCAGCAATAATTTTGGGATGACAGTGGCCCTGATTCACAGCAGAGTAGGCACTGAGGAAATCATAATATTTGTTGCCTTCCACGTCCCACACAAAAACACCTGGGGATATACAATCATTGGTACAGTGGATCAGTTTTGTCTGTCATCATTTATTAATGGCTGGAAATATAAATATTTATTTCTTTAGGAATTATTAGCTCTCAAACAATGAACATTACACAGTGCGTTAGTCAAAAGTTGTACATATTTTCTATATTTCTGTATTTTTGGGGAAAATTGAAAAAAATATAAAGAGTCATATGCATACATTTATACAAGTACGTGTGTGTGGAAATACTTTTTATAAATATATTATTGAGAACAGGGAGCACACCTTTAGCATTTCTAATTGCCACTGGCAGAGGATGGTAGTTGTGGGCTCCGTACTTTTCTTCTCTGCTGAAAACCTTTTCAGATGGATTGCCAATTTTTGCCGGCCCTACAGCCGGGGCAGCTTTAGTGGAATACTGCTTGAAGACATGTGTGAGAACCCTTGAAGTCTGTTGCATGGGCTTCTGAAACCTGCTCATCATTTTATATTAGTTTTATCTGAAATGAAAGAAATAACTTTAATTTCTAAGTAACTAAATATGATTATTATTTTTTAGTCGGGCCAAGACATTGCTTTACTTAACTTACCTAATTCAGGTGGCAAAATGGTATTAAAACACATTAAATGTAATAGAATGTTTTAATTTAGTCCTTTTAATTCAGAATAGATGTCTAGTGAACTGGAGAATGATAAAACTCAACACATTGCATCATTCTGTGTCACACACAGTTCAATAATTCAATCTTAGAGATGTTTAAAAAAAAATAAAATTATTATGCATCCTTATTTCACTGACATTGCATCATGAAGTATGACTATTTAGATTTAAAATCAATGTACAGGCACAGCTATAATCTATTGCTATACTTAACTTACCTAATTCAGGTGGCAAAATGGTATTAAAACACATTAAATGTAATAGAATGTTTTAATTTAGTCCTTTTAATTCAGAATAGATGTCTAGTGAACTGGGGAATGATAAAACTCAACACATTGCATCATTCTATGTCACACACAGTTCAATACTTCAATCTTAGAGGTGTTTAAAAAAAAAAAAAAAAATTATTATGCATCCTTATTTCACTGACATTGCATCATGAAGTATGACTATTTAGATTTAAAGTCAATGTACAGGCACAGCTATAATCTCATTACATGTTCAGCTACAGTTGGTATTTAAACTGGACAAAATCAATGAATGTGAATTGTATTTGATGCAAGAAGTAGTTACAAGTTTTGATCAATGGTAAGGGATCAAATATCATTTAAAATATTCTCTGGGTTCAAACTCATTGTAACTGTATTATTTTGTTAGGTCCCTTTTAATTTTTATTCACATCAACATTATTTCATTTCATTCAAAGTTATCAAGGATAGTGGAAGTATCATTAACTGTACTTATAGGCAGGGTTGATCAGAGGCAAAAGAGTAAATCACCCAGGGCCCTGTTCGTAAGGGGGAAGGGGAGGGGGGCGCCCACAAAGGGGAAAATTTGATAAGTTTGATAAAATTATTTTAAAATTTGTGGAGCCCTAACATTTGATATTTCTCTGGGCCCAAAAATCTTCTGCACTGCTCAGGGTTGATCAGAGGCAAAAGGGTAAATCACCCAGGGCCCTGTTCGTAAGGGGGAAGGGGGGGGGGGGGCGCCCAAAAAGGGGAAAATTTGATAAGTTTGATAAAATTATTTTAAAATTTGTGGAGACCTAACATTTGATATTTCTCTGGGCCCAAAAATCTTCTGCACTGCCCTGCTTTTGGCCTGCCAAATGTGAAATTTTTGCTTGTGTGGTCATACCTGCAAAAGGTCAGGCCGTGATATTAAAGATAGTAGAAGATTATTGGGGACGTTTAGCTCTTCCAATAAAGGTGGGGCATGGGACAAAAAAGGTTGGGAGACACTGAAGTAGAGAAGTTCTAGGCCTCAAACATATGAAATATCTCTTCTCAAAATCTTTGTAATGTGGATATTTTCAAAATCAACAAATAAAATACTTGACCAATTTTTATAGAAAGATTTCTAGAGCTGCGGTGTTACAGTTTCCTTGTTTTTAGTCTATTTTGTTTACAACTGTTGGAGTGACTGATATCCACTGACACATTGGCAACAAAAAACACTCCATAATGGGGACACAAGGGAAAGAATTAGAAGTAGAGGGAGATAACCTATGCACTGCACTTGGTACAAACCAAATTACAGATGGGATACACTTGGTAAAGGATTGGATACAATGAATGCAGGATGGGTTACACTAGGTATAAAATGGGATACACTAGGTACAGGATGGAATACAATGAGTCTAGGGTGTGATAAATTAAGTTAGAATGGGATACATTGAGTCCAGGATAGGATAGACTTGACGAGTATGTGATACTGATACTCCGTAGATGGAATATACTAGTTTGAGGATGGGATACAATGTGTACAAGATGGGATATGTAGAGTACAGGAAGGGTTACTTAAGTACTGGATGTGATACACAAGTACAGGATGGATACTTAAAGTGCAAAATGAAATACTCGAGTACAGAGAGTTTTCTGTAAAAAGGTATATTTTCCTGCCATTTAAAGTCTTTAAACTAGAACTAACTTTCTACTTTTAGATCACAACTACAAACATAATTCTTCAGCATAGGTTCCTAAATATTAATCATAGAGTATCATATGATACAGTTAGGTATAAGCAGATAATTACAACAGTTGTTATCCTATGTTTCTCTTCCTTACTGTGGTGAAGAGCACTCGTGAGGGCCATTTAAAATGTAAAGAGGAGTTCAGTGATAAGGAAACTAGAACAGAGCTATGTCTCCCACACAATTTCAGATCATATAAAGTCAATAGATATGTACATTTTTGGCCAGAAATAAACTAACTAAAATCATTTACTCAGCTTCCAACCAAAAAATATCTTACAATGATACATATAAGGGGATCCAGCCTCTACCTATAATAAATAACTTATAAAAGCAAGTAGGTAATATTTTAATATTGGTTGATAGATTCTTTCTCATTTTGCCATTGATGATTGAAAAGTTTTCAAGACAACAAATAGACGAACATAATTTTTTTTAAATTTAATAATATCTTTACTGTGACTTTGGAATTCACTCTGCTACAGCAACACAATTATTAAAATTTATTATTATTAATAATTATTGAATTATTAGAAGTATCATATCAATTTTGAAAAAAAAAATACAGGTAGTTTACCAAGCTCTACTAAATGTATATACTTTTAAAAAAAGGGTTATTATTTATAAATAGAATATTAAGACTAAGACATTTAAATTTCAGTTTAAATCCAAAAGCCACAGAAATCAAGGGCACATGGTAGGATTATTTGCAGGGGGGCGTTAAATTGATTATTTAGTAAGTTCAAATTTTAGTTTTGTTGTTTCAGTATTTTTCTCAATATTAGTTAGTAATTTAATAAGTTTAGCAATTCCAGAAGGCGGGGGTCCATTTGACCCTCTCCACTGAGCCCACTCTCTTTTTTATTTCGGGGGGGGGGGGTTATAAATTTTTTTAAAATTACTTGGAGCAATAAGTCTAATGGCAGGAATACTAACAACTAAAATAAGTCTAGGAATGAATTAATTAATAGCGACAAAATCCTAGCACTTTAATTATTAATTACTGACTTAGAACAGGCAAAAAAATGTAGGCCCTTTTGATTGACTTTTGGACAATAGTTTACGGAAATTTTATATTAAAAACTTACATGTTAGTGTCAGGTGTTGGCTCGTCGGAGTTTAGAGACAGATAACATTAACTAACAACACTTAAACTTTTCAATGTTGGACTAGTTTGTGATAACTTGAATTCCCACGACATGAACCCGTGAGGCAGAGTTCTCCCCCTGTCGGCCTTGACTTGGTGACCGATAAAAAGAGGTAGAGTGATTGTGTTTTCCGAGAGATGTGAAGGGTAGGGGGGAGGGGTGGATTGTGCGTTAAGTACATTAACCAGCAAGGAGCCAAAAAAATATCATGTCTGCAGACAAATGGGGAGACGGTACTGTGGTGTGCGCCAACAATTTTAAAATCCAAACGGTAAACATGTACTGCTATTACCAAGCTATTTATAGGAAGGTACCGCATTGTCGGTATTGTACAAGAGTGCGTGGTTGCAATGCAATAGTCAATAGTGTCACTGACAGTAAAGTGTCTACTGTTGACACGTTATTAAAACGTAGTGCTAGCATTGCTTCAATGATTCCACTACATTATTTCATACATGATTCAGTGTCTTGGTTTATAGTAAATGTACTGTAAATTTAAAAAAAAATAAAAAAATTACACCAGAAGTTAAAAATTACCACAAAACTTGAACACTTAAAGTCCTCCGGTTGCTGGTTGTCCTAATAATTATTTGATAACATGCATTTTCGATTCATATGAAAGGGGAAACAAATATTTATTTTCAAATAAACTCAAATTGTGAGAACATATTTGTAATTGAAGACTATTCCCCTCGAATGGCCTTATGGTCTACTACTCTGACCTGTAGATTTTCAGCTTATGCACATCAGGCTCTGAGGGCAACACACGTGAAAGGCTTATAGCTATGATTGAGTTAATGATGTGTTGATGGCTGCCGGTATCATCCAAGTTTGGCAGTATTGACCCGGCCGGTTTGTTAATCCGTCCCGGTTTAAAACCAAAAATGTAGCTGATGTGTCCTGTCTAATTAGATTGTCTCTCTGTTTTAGAACTTCAATGTGTAAATGCTGTCAATGTCTCAGTCAGGTTGTCTCTTTGTGTTAGAACTTGGCTAAAATTATATGTGTAACTGATGTCTATGTCTGAGCTTGTAGTAAGCAATGTGCGTTTGTTTATGAGTGCGAGTCAACGTGTGAATTTGAATGTCTTTTAAAGATGTGAGAGATGAACAAAATGCCCCTCTTACAACCTATGATAATGACCCCTCTTACAACCTATGATAATGAACCCTCTTACAACCTATGATAATGACCCCCCCCCCCCCCCCCCCNAATCGACCCCCCCCCCCCCCGCTTCTTATGAGAAGACAACCCCCAACCCGGTCCTTTTTTTTTCACTACCATTCTTATGAGAAGACAGAAGTGACATGCTATTATTTTAGAGTTGAAAATCTGCAAAGTTACTTGAATCCACTCCACAATGGTGTGCTCATGTACTCAAGAACGACAAGCCCGTGCCGGCCTTAAAAAAGAAAGTTTTGAGCTAGAACAAAAAGTGCTGCGGCCATGTCATCCTAAAAGTTAATCAGTCATCTATTTATAGCCTACTAGTTCTCAGTGTTCTATGGGACTATGAGGGATTGATTTTCGGGTATAAATCCGAATGATGAAAATATGTAATTAAAAAAATAATAACAGTCGCCTAATTTGAATTGAACATAATTGGCAGATTTGTAGTGGCGTAAAAAGATATTTATTTTTGATATTCGTTATAAAGATAAAACATGGTTTTCTTGTTTCTGAAGATTCCCCGCCCCACAGTAAGAAAAAAAATTACAGCACAAATATATGGGCTTCAACCATTGGCGTATCAAAGGGGTGATAGGCGTATCAAAGGGGTGATAGGCGTATCAAAGAGGTGATAGGCGTATCAAAGGGGTGATAGGCGTATCAAAGGGGTGATAGGCGTATCAAAGGGGTGATAGGCGTATCAAAGGGGTGATAGGCGTATCAAAGGGGTGATAGGCGTATCAAAGGGGTGATAGGCGTATCAAAGGGGTGATAGGCGTATCAAAGGGGTGATAGGCGTATCAAAGGGGTGATAGGCGTATCAAAGGGGTGATAGGCGTATCAAAGGGGTGATAGGCGTATCAAAGGGGTGATAGGCGTATCAAAGGGGTGATAGGCGTATCAAAGGGGTGATAGGCGTATCAAAGGGGTGATAGGCGTATCAAAGGGGTGATAGGCGTATCAAAGGGGTGATAGGCGTATCAAAGGGGTGATAGGCGTATCAAAGGGGTGATAGGCGTATCAAAGGGGTGATAGGCGTATCAAAGGGGTGATAGGCGTATCAAAGGGGTGATAGGCGTATCAAAGGGGTGATAGGCGTATCAAAGGGGTGATAGGCGTATCAAAGGGGTGATAGGCGTATCAAAGGGGTGATAGGCGTATCAAAGGGGTGATAGGCGTATCAAAGGGGTGATAGGCGTATCAAAGGGGTGATAGGCGTATCAAAGGGGTGATAGGCGTATCAAAGGGGTGATAGGCGTATCAAAGGGGTGATAGGCGTATCAAAGGGGTGATAGGCGTATCAAAGGGGTGATAGGCGTATCAAAGGGGTGATAGGCGTATCAAGGAGGTGATAGGCGTATCAAAGGGGTGATAGGCGTATCAAAGGGGTGATAGGCGTATCAAAGGGGTGATAGGCGTATCAAAGGGGTGATAGGCCCCAGGGATCATATTTAGGACGGTGGATAAGATTTCATTAATATTTTCAACCCTATTTCGAAATTCCAACTAAGTCAAAGGTGGAAATAAATGACGTATTGGCAGTGCTTAACTTATTCAAACATTTACATCAGGATCAGGGCCAAACAAAGACATTAAGGTCAGCGTATTTTTAAAAAAAAAAACATATCAATTATATTAAAATTTCTGCGGTGAAAAGGTTATTTACAACTTCCTGCAATATTGCTGAATTTGCTTTCTCGTTAACAAAACCCTTGCAGAATGTGTCATTCGTCTGTCAAATCTGGCTAGCTTTTTAAAAATAAAAAATTCATAGCAAACCAGAGGCGTAGCGAGGTGGGGCAGGGGGGACAGATGTTCCCGGGCGCAAGCTAGTTAGGGGCGCCAAAATGTGCTTTGATACTATATTATTGGTAAAAATAATGGGTTTGAGAGTTGAAAAAAAGAAAAAGGGGGCGCTTTAAGATGGATCTTGTCCCCGGGCGCGAATCTTGTCCCCGGGCGCCAAACACCCTCGCTACGCCTCTGTAGCAAACTTCAAAGGGATCTTTCGTTGATGTTTTTATTTCGCCTTCTTTATTATTGTCATCGTTACACAAGTTCAATCCTTTAGCTCAGGGCTCAGAAACCGGCGTGCCGTGGCCCACTGCTGTGCCGCCAGATGATGTCATGTGTGCCACGTGATGTGCCTTCAAAAGGGGAAAAGCACAAAGTATATGCAGTATGTAAGTCCATACATAAATCGTGTTTTTACAAAGGGGACATTGTTGAAAGCTTTCAAACTCTGCTATAGCAGAAATTTGTCCACTACAGACTTTCAATATAGTAATATCGTCTCTTTTAACATTTGATCACGTTTTGCCCCAGGGGTGGCGGGGTAGGTCATAGTGATCTGCAGTAGCAAAGCCACTCCTTATGTGTAGGTTTTAATGTAAAGGAAGCTACCTCTTTGGGGTTCCTGTGGCAGCCAGATGGTTTGCCACTAGGGCGAACATATCGGGGGTGCCGATACATGGGGGAGAGGGGTGGAGGGGTGTTCGTGAAAATGGATTCCCAGGGAGCCTATAAGGGCTCCGGTCGCTGGCGTCATTCCTTATGAACGATTTTCAACAATTATCGTCATTACAAATGTTAACTAAAATATATTATTTAGAACATGTGTGTATGTTTTTACTTGTGGGGTGCCGCGGAATTTTTGGATAGGCCTAGGGTGTGCCGCGGGTGAAAAAAAAAAAGAGTTTCTGAGCTCTGGTTTGGCCTACGTGGCTCAAGGGGGTCTTAGCCCGGGCGTGCAATCAACTATCGGTGACCGGAAATTTGTTTGATGGAAATTTCGTCGATGGAAACGGACCTTTGGTCGAATTATTCCTCCAGTTCACACGTTAGAATTTTGCGTCAAATTTCTTTTTTGAACGCCCTATACTATAATAGAGTCAAACAAAAGAATGCCCTATACTATATAGTAAAACAAAAGAATGCCCTATACTATAGAGTCAAACAAAAGAATGCCCTATACTATATAGTAAAACAAAAGAATGCCCTATACTATAGAGTCAAACAAAAGAACGCCCTATACTATAGAGTCAAACAAAAGAATGCCCTATACTATATAGTAAAACAAAAGAATGCCCTATACTATAGAGTCAAACAAAAGAACGCCCTATACTATATAGTAAAACAAAAGAATGCCCTATACTATAGAGTCAAACAAAAGAATGCCCTATACTATATAGTAAAACAAAAGAATGCCCTATACTATAGAGTCAAACAAAAGAATGCCCTATTTACTATATAGTAAAACAAAAGAATGCCCTATACTATAGAGTCAAACAAAAGAATGCCCTATACTATATAGTAAAACAAAAGAATGCCCTATACTATAGAGTCAAACAAAAGAATGCCCTATACTATAGAGTCAAACAAAAGAATGCCCTATACTATAGAGTCAAACAAAAGAATGCCCTATACTATATAGTAAAACAAAAGAATGCCCTATACTATATAGTAAAACAAAAGAATGCCCTATACTATAGAGTCAAACAAAAGAATGCCCTATACTATAGAGTCAAACAAAAGAATGCGTTCAAAAAGAAATTTGACGCAAAATTTTAACGCGTGAACTGGAGAAAAAAAATTCGACCAAAGTTCCGTTCGATCAAATTTCCGTCGATCAATTTTCCGTATGTGGACTATCACTATCAATGCATAAATAGCTATGGGGACCTATGCTGGCTGTGCTCTGAGCCCAAAAGACCTTAATCCATCGATGCATTACGGTATAGACAGGAGAAAGTAGAGAGCAAACACATGATAATTTTCAAAATTTTCAGTGGTGGAATTATCATAGAATAAACGAAACCATGTTTTTGAGCTTCACATCCCAAGGGGAGGTCCCAAATAACATCTTTGACATATCCATTTAAATATTAAAGAGAATTTTTCATATATAGGCTGCCAATGAACTGTTAAGCATAAAATGGCCGCCTTTAAAGTTAATGATAGTTAATCTTTATAAAAATGTCCT